ATCAAGTCTGGATCAGACAATCCAGTGGTCGACACCATGAGCATCGATACACTTAAAGGAGATTCCAGGACATGCAACCAACCAAGTCACTGAGCCTGACCAGACGGGCTACCGGTAGTTATAACGCTGATAGAAATCCAAATGTAACTATCCATATAGTTTACAAACACAAGATCAAAAGACACACACATTTACACATTTGTAATTTGGACAGTTTCAAGATTTTTTCAAGTGAATCGTGTTACACAGATAATCAATGGCGCATGTCAGGTGTTTATAGAATTGATAATGATATTGACAATGTCAGCCACTGTGGACCATGCCGGATATTTTTACATGCCGCGTGCAGGCATGGCAAGGGGGCAGACTGTGTGAAACTGAAGTGTTGTTTGATATATGGCGGCGGTCTGTAAGCAATCGAATCTGCACAAGACAATCCAGTGATTGACATCATGAGCATCAATTTACGCAACTGTGATACAATGACATACATCAACCAAGTCAGCGAGCCTGACCACCCAATCCCCTCAGTCTCCTCTTGTGACATGCATGGGTTGCTGAAGGCAACTCTACCCCGATCTTCATGGGTCAAAACTGAGGTGACACTGGTGCATGACATTAACATGTCAAACAGACATGACATTCATCTGCCCATACCCAGGCCCATCATGGCCGCTAAGAATGCAGATATTTTCTAGGGAATATTATACTAAGGCCAAACAAATGATATCCTTGGTTCTCAGGCACCGCCGGCATCATCATAAATTCTGCCACACGTTTCGCTTTTATTTCCATTTTCAAAAAGGAAAACTTAAAGATCCTAATATTTAAAAACAATGCGATCCAATATAGCACGCAGTTACTTCCCTTTAAATGCACACTGCTTTACTGTACATCTCGTGTTCTGGTCATGGGGGCAATAGGAATTTGTCTGCTTCTTTATGTCGGGTGGAGTGTATCCGATGATCAGTTACTTCCCTTTACATGCACACTGCTTTACTGTACATCTCGTGTTCTGGTCATGGGGGCAATAGGAGTTTGTCTGCTTCTTTATGTTGGGTGGAGTGTATCCGATGATCAGGGTAGTAATACGACATCGTCATCTTTGAGCTCATGCATGGATATAGCGCTGTGTAGATGGACTATAATTATTTGACCTGTTTGTTGCAGTGAGCTCATGCATGGATAAAGCGCTGTGTAGATGGACTATAATTATTTGACCTGCTCGTTGCAGTATGTATAAATCCTTAATGTCTTTTCTCTTCTGTAAAACACATCATTTGCCTATTTAATAACCTATTATAATTTATTAATGATGCACTGTACAAATCCTTCTCCATGTCTGCATGTACAGGACATGGCAGCCCAGCTGTAAGGCTAAACAAAAGAACAAACTTGTCCGTGCAGGCTGAGGGCTCTGATATCCTGTAACGGAATCCAAAGAAACCAAACCGTGATTTGAAGAAATCAGAGAATGAAATCATTCAATCTGTTACTCATGGAGCTGAAGAGATACCCGTTTATTTTAGTGGGCTTACTTGAGCAAATCGGCATAAGTTCAGACTAGAAGTGTGCATGCACCAACGCACGTTGCAATGTACGTGCATGCTCGTCGCAATGTAAGTGCAGCAATCTTGAACACAACGTTAGCCCCATTTCACCTCACGTCACTAAACCAGAGGCCCTAGATACAAATGTAGCATAACGATCTGAACCGTTTCCATGTTATGATCCAGGTTTCAAGACGCAAGGCTGGACCCCAAGGCAAATCATGTTGGCATAAATGTATTATTCTCTTTATAACAAACATATGTATACATTTATCTGTGTAGTGTAGGGTGGAGATAACATCGGTTTGCATGTTATGGTCAAGGTTCTAACGCCTTTGGGAGTGCCGGACAGATGAACAGAAGGGCCAGTCCTGGTAGCATAAGTGCATTCCTCTCCTTGTACTCAGCAATTGTACATATGGTCATACGGTGGGGATCTTAACTGTGTCCAAGTTAAGCACTCCTTTTGGCCCCGCCTCTCAGCCCCTGGGGGGGGGGGGGGGGGGGGGTCAGCCCTGCCATTGTACAACTGTGAATTCCCATCACCTGAGAATAGTTCCAGCCAAATATGGTTGATGTCTACCTCTTAGTTCCACAGAAAAATTCATTTAAAGCAATATTGCCCTTTTAAGCCCCGCACCTCAGCCCTTTTCGGGGGTCAGACCCACCATTTGTAGAATTTTGAATCCTCACCACCGGAAAATACTTCCAACCAAATACGGTTGATATCTATCTCTTAGTTCAAGAGAAGAAGTTGCTTAAAGCAACATAGCCTAATTACCCCTATTTGGCCCCGCCCCTTAGCCCCTTGAGGGATCAACCCCACCATTTCTACAATTTTGAACCCCCACCACCTAGGGATGCTTCGAGTCAAACTTCATTAATTTCCAATTAGTGGTTCAGAAGAAGAATTGAGTCATTTGAAAAAACTGTTGACGTAAGGACGACGGACGATGGACGGACGACAGACGCCACGGTATGGCAAAAGCTCACCTTGGTACTTCGGGCCCGGTGACCTAAAAACAGTCCAGTGGACCACTTTACCCACGTCCAGAGAATGAGTTTAACCAGAAACGCCACAAAGCACCCTGTAATCTAAATCTACCTATGCTGTTATGTATCTGGTCACAGAACATAGTCTATTGGACCACTTTACCCATGTCCAGAGAATGTCTTAAGGAGAAACAGCACAAAGCACCCTAAAGACACCCTGTAATCTAAATCTACCCATGCTGTCATGTATCTGGTCACAGAACATAGTCTATTGGACCACTTTACCAATGTCCAGAGAATGTCTTAAGGAGAAACAGCACAAAGCACCCTAACCAGAAACACCACAAAGCACCCTTAAGACACCCTGTAATCTAAATCTACCAATGCTGTCATGTATCTGGTCACAGAACACAGTCTATTGGACCACTTTACCCATGTCCAGAGAATGAGTTTAACCAGAAACACCACAAAGCACACTTAAGACACCCTGTAATCTAAATCTACCCATGCTGTCATGTATCTGGTCACAGAACACAGTCTATTGGGCCACTTTACCCATGTCCAGAGAATGAGTTTAACCAGAAACACCACAGACCACCCTTAAGACACCCTGTCATGTAAATCTACCCATGCTGTCATGTATCTGGTCACAGAACACAGTCTATTGGATCACTTTACCCATGTCCAGAGAATGCCTTAGGGAGAAACAGCACAAAGCACCCTTAAGACACCCTGTAATCTAAATCTACCCATGCTGTGATGTATCTGGTCACAGAACGTAGTCTATTGGACCACTTTACCCATGTCCAGAGAATGACTTTAACCAGAAACACCCCAAAGCACCCTTAAGACTCCCTGTAATCTAAATCTACTCATGTTACGATGTATCTGCTCTTGGGCCGGTTGGTAGCCCAGCTCATCACACCGAAGACCCGGGTTCGTTTCTGGTGTCCCCCGCCGAGATATTTCTGGAAAATTGCTAAAAGCGGCGGAAAACCATACTCACTCACTCAGTATGCTCTAAGAACAGAGTCTATTTGAACACTTCATTCATGTCCAGAGAATAACCTTAGCCAGAAACTGCACACATCCATCCTTAAGACACCTTGTAAGACACCTTGTAATCGACACCTACCCGTGCTATGATGTGTCTGGTTACTATACACTTGACCAATTCCAGAGAAACAACACAAAAGACCCTTAAGACACCCTGGGCCCACTTGCAAAAAGCGATCTTAGCGCTAAGACTGTTGTAAGCCTAAGTCAAAGTATGGGAGTTTCGATCATCTTAGCACTAAGATCGCTTTGTGCAAGTGAGCCCTGGACACTGGACACAGTTGATTTGACCATTTGACTCATCTCCTGAGAATGACTGAACCAGAAAAATCACAAACCACCCTGAAGACACCCTGTAATCTAAACACAATCCCTTTAACCTGAAGCTATGCAAACCAATATCTGGCTAGTATGCATAGTCTATTTGACCACTTGACCCATTTCCAGAGAAAGCCTTCAACCTGAAGCTACACAAACCATCCTTAAATCTGAATCTCACTTCCAGACCATCCACATTAAACATGAACCTAAGTTTGCCCCTGGCGGCCCAGTGCTTCATGATCAGCAACTCATGCTTGTCCTCAGATAGGTTGGTTGGTTGGTTGTTTAACGCCCCACTCACCAATATTCTGGCTATATGACCGCAGTCTGTAAATAATCGAATCTGAACCAGACAATCCAGTGATTAATATCATGAGCATCGATCCACGCAATTGGGACAGGTGACATATATCAACCAAGTCAGCGAGCCTGACCACCTGATCCCGTTAGTCGCCTTTTACGACAAGCATAGTCCCCTTTTACGGCAAGCATGGGTTGCTGAAGACCTATTCTACCCCAGAATCTTCACGGGTCTTGTCCTCAGAAGCGACAGATTCAGATGGTCAGTCTTGATGACTTGATTGCATGTCATCATGTCTCACTTGTGATGACCGTTGCTCATAATGTCAATCACTGGATTGTCTGGTGGGATGGGTAGGGGGGAGGTGATGTGAGGTAGGGTGGGGGTGGGGTGGGGTGAGGAGAGGTGAGAGTGTGTGTGTGTGTAGGGGGGGTTGCACTAGTCCAGACTGATGGCAGTTTTATGGTGTCAACTCACTGAGATCATGCTAGCAATTTAACATGAATACATAATCACTGGATTGTCTGGTGGGGTGAGGTGGGGTGGGGTGAAATGAGGTGGTGTGGTGTGAGGTGAGGTGGGGTGAGGTGAGGTGGGGTGGTATGAGATACCCCAAAATTATCAGACTGTGTATACAGCTCAACTGCAATTTGGACTGCTGGCACAAGACATGTGTAGATCTTGAGAGTTTCTAATAAAACAATCACGATGAAAGTCAGTGGCAAGAGAATCAGGTCACAGTTCAGCAAAGGTCACACTGCCTGGATCAAAGGTCTCACCTTTCAATCTGAAGAATCAGAAAGTGCCTCTCCGACCCATATACCCAGGACTGTCACCAGGATGAGTGCTGAAGACTTCTCACTGGTCACCATGTCCAGGTTGGATGGCACTGGTCTGTCCCCGCCACACTGTGACTGCATCTCTCCCTCTGTGTGGCTGTTGGGTCAAACTGCGGCCAGCAAGCAAGACCTGAAACAAGAGTCAAGCAAAGCTGATGTGGAGGGAATGTGACAATGAAAAGATGGCCGAGGCAAGGAACACAGCTCTGAGATCGCATCATTCAGCATCCACTGACTATGACAAGCCTCACCTGCAGATAGCCAGAGAAAGAAAATACATGCTTGAAAATGACATTGAAATGTGTTATGTGTGACTTCATAGCACCTGATATGAAGTTGTACAACGCAATCAAAACAGGCAATCCCGACCAAACCCAGCAGCATCTAACATAGGACTTGCCTTGAGTCTACAGTACATGACACCCCTATTGGAAACACAAGAGCCAGATTACTGATGGCGAAGACAGACATTCCACCCCCTTGTAGGAGCAGTATGCAGAGGACCTCTAACAAGGTGGCTAAGACTGATACTGAACTGAATACACAGGAGTAGAATTAGTGAAGGAAGTTAATCGCAAGAGGGTACTGAGCCTTGCGAGATGAATATTTTAATGGATGACCGATATAACTCAATGACAATAACAAGCAGGAAGAAGTCAGGGCAGAATGCATCACAAGCAATCAGCATCACCTGCGAAACAGTAACTGACAAGAAGTTCATCATCAGCTTATCATTCCAGAGTAAGCTCTGCTGGACTGGTGCTTGGCTGAAAGGAAAAGGAATGGATGTGAAATGTCCAGGGGGGCACCTACACTGTACTGCAAACATGTCGGCCTTCGCTGTTTAATATGGGAGAGGACATTGGAAATCAGCTTGCACTACAGGGTACACCGTCAGTCAGGTCATAATAACTGATGTCAACCAGCACCACAGTTTCTAAAGTAAACGTGGTCCGAAATTAAGCATAAAAATCAAGGGGTCCTTGCCATAGCCCGATAAAAAAGTTAAGTGTATTGTTATTTTTTACTGGCATGAACAGCTTTGAGACCCCTTGTGTTTCTCCATATCACTAACACTGCAGCTTCATCATCACTGTAGTTTCTGGGAAGATTTGAAAAATTAAAATTAATTTAGGTAAAATATCAATGCATAAAAAAATAAGGTTTCTTGACATTTTTTGTCAAAAATAAATCCCATTGTATAATTACACATCATAGCAAAAGTTCTAGGTCTGTGGTTTCTGAGAAAATGTTTTTAAAAGATTTTCCAAGTAGTAGAAGTGTATTTTTTATGTCTTGATTATTCAACAAGCAGGAATTTAACAGCTCTCAATCACAATGTTCTTTTACATATCATATCACAGTTACTGCTTGCTGTGCACAGTTGATTATTATTACTTTTTTGTTAAAACAACATTTTTGAAGATCATAAGATATCACTCCAGCAAGCAGAGACCATAAAACAGATTATGGTCTCTGTGCCAATTTTAAGTTACCATGGTTACTGTCAAAACCTGGTATTTCCAAACTAAAGTCAATGGCCACATCAATAAATTTAAATTATCTGAACAAATAACACACGGGTAATGGCTAACAATAGCATGCTTATCTTTTGAACAAACTTCTGGCTGACAATATTAGAGCGATCATCCGAGTTTCAGCTTACCTGTGTTTTTTCTGAGAAAAAGTCAAAACAATCCAATTCACACTGGAGACACTTACCGTGACCATTCACAATTAGCGGTCATAATATATTAACGAACATTGCTCCATTATTCCTGAGAGGAGAGAGGATTGACACCAGTGAGCATGTCTTGCCTCGGCCGCACCCTGTGACCCGGCCAGTGCCTGTTGGTGCAGTCGAATGCAAGTCTTGCTAGATCCGTGTCTATAACTTATTCTATACTTTCAAAATATCTTTAAAAAGTATAAATAATGAAGATACTACCTTATGTATCCACGGGCTGATAAGGTATCCCATGACATTTCACATTTTGCTTATAAAACAGCAAACCATCACGATCACTTCCCAAAATCACTTCCTGGTCGCCATTTTCTGGTTCAAGAAAGTTCAAGGTCGTGTTGGATGGTACTTCTGCGCTGGCCGCTGGACACAGACGAAAGCTTGGCCCCGTCTCTAAGTTTCGGGGGCGCAACAATATCGTGGAACTAGTTTCAGAAAAAGCTCCATGACTTTGCATGCTACCCGTGGTATGGATACCGTATTGAATGTGTAGGAAACAATACATCGATGTGAGAAGCTTATTAAAACTGGTACCAAGCTTCGTTGCGCTACAGACAGAAGGAAACCAGTCCGGTTGAAACCTCCCCGAGCAAATCTTGATCTAAATCTTTCACAGAGGGCCTGAACATGCTGACGTCAGAGCTAAAAACATGACGTCATTACCTTTGTCCGTGCACGTTCGAAAACTTTGCAGTGACTCAGCTATCAGTGGTATCAAGTCAAATCTCAGCTTGGCCTGAAAAACATGGAACTTTAAAAAATATTTTCAATCAAAAGGCCTCTGTCTCACAGACTCGCTTGGCCAGATTTGTACTTATATGCAATAATTTTCCTAAAGGAACAATAGATTTATAAATGTTAACACAAACTGTAGCTTTTATTGTGTAGTGGAAAAGGGTTCTGCATTATGGTCAGAAATTATACAATATGACATAACGTGACTTGTGTTGGCGGGTGAGGGCAGAAATTGAACAGACAACAGGTGTAAACTGAAAAATATTGACCCTATTCAGAAAAAGAAACTTTTAGTTCTCCACAACTGACTTTAAATACTTATATTATGAGGACCTTGATATGAATGAAAGTACCAGAAGAGTTTTGGTTTGCTATGCATCTACTGAACTACTGAGCTAATTACTGTTTTTCTTAGCGTCGCATAGATTTTCTAAATAATAAATGTTCCTGGTATTAACGTTACAGCCAAAGTTTGAAGCATGGAGATTCAGTACAAATTGAGACCCGTCAAGAAAAGAATAGATCTTCAGCAACCCATGTTTGCCGTAGAGGCGCCCATGGTTGATGCATGTCATCGTATCCCAGTTGCGTGGATCAATGCTCATGATGTCAATTACTGGAGTGTCTGGTCTAGACTCGATTATTTAGAGAGTGCCATCATATAGCTGGAATTTTGCTGAGTGTGGCGTAAACAACAAACAAACAGTACAAATTGAGAAATATGCATACAATTTCCACTAGATGCTATAGGAATGTGTGTGTGACAGCTCTGTAGATATACCACATAGCTGGTTCTTAATTATCTATCGTGTTAACCTGCTCGGTGCCGAGTTATTTTTGTAACGCACTTTTTCATAAAATCTGTAAAGTGAAGGTTGTGCGAGAATTGTGACACGTAAGTAAGCAGAAACATTCCGAGAATCTGTGTACTTTGATTTGATTGTTTATTTTTCAAGAAATACCATGTGGTTGTGCGTGATTTTGCGTCAGTCATAGCGTCACGCAGGACGGAAACTTTGACAATTGTTGTAGAATTTACCAAATCATTGCAATGTGTATATTTTTAATTACCTAATTCTTGCTACGATTCTCTTCCAATGCATTGTCTGAAAATGTTGCGCTGATGTACATGTATGCAACGAATAGACGAATGGATAGCTCAAAATAGGAGAAAATGCTACACTGTGTAAAATCTGATTTTTTGTTTGTTTACATTTCTAAGAAGTGCAGTTTTACTCGGTGCGCAGCGTTCGTTTCCAAACCTAATTTATTATGCTTGATTTCTTCTGGACACTTGATATTGGTGACAAGGACCAGGACAAGGACCAAAGCATTCAAGGATGTATGTATACTAGCTGAGTGTGAAACATACGTGATGTTCTAGGCGTCTCATAATTCCACACAGGTGAAACGGGTTTTTGTAAACACTCTCCAATATACGTATGGCGCAAAGTTTACGTCGGCGTTCGTGTTTGGGTATTTTCCAAAACATTCTAAACGATTCTAGGGTTATCGGCGACGTTTTGGAATGATCATTGGTGATTTGATAAACGATAGATACCCGTGATCACTAATATGCCCTTTTTGAAATTCATTTCTCCCAGTAATTATCCGAAATTTCAATTTCAAAACATGCTGTAAATAACGCCGTGAATTGTGACTTAGTAATGTTTAAAAATGGCGTGATCTATCATGTACCTCATTTTCAGTAATTCTGCTTTGCCTAAAATGACAGTGGATGATATCACAAAACAGGCAATTTCCCACAGAATGAAAACCTGTGAAGTGTAATTGTGTGCGTGATGTGTATTGAATTTTATTCAACTCCAAAGTGAGGTTTGAAGAGGAGGGACATATCGGTTTTAGATACTGCAGTAATCTAGACTTTCTAAATATCATAGACCTTTAATAGCTGTATTAAACCACGCTTCACCTCACCTGTAAATAATCGAGACTGGACCCGACAATCCAGTGATTGACATCATGAGCATCAATCCACGCAATTGGGATTCGATAACATGCATCAACCAAGTCATCAAGCCCGACGACCCGATCCCGTTAGTCACCTCTAAAAGACAAGCATAGTCGCCTTTTGTATATGGGTTGCTGAAGAGGTATTCTACCCCGGACCTTTTCTTCACGGTCCGATCGCCTATAAGTCGAATCTTACGACAAGCATAGTCGCCTCTTAATGCAAGCACGGGTTGCTGAAGACCTATTCTACCCCGGACCTTTTCTTCACGGTTCATCACCTATAAGTCGACTCTTATGACAAGCATAGTCGCCTCTTAATGCAAGCATGGGTTGCTGAAGACCTATTCTACCCCGGACCTTTTCTTCATGGGTCCGATCACCTATAAGTCGACTCTTATGACAAGCATAGTCGCCTCTTAATGCAAGCATGGGTTGCTGAAGACCTATTCTACCCCGGACCTTTTCTTCATGGGTCCGATCACCTATAAGTCGACTCTTATGACAAGCATAGTCGCCTCTTAATGCAAGCACGGGTTGCTGAAGGCAAATTCTAAGTCGGATGTTCACAGGTCCTCAGACACAATATACTGACTCCGAGCCGACCAGTCCTTGTTTTATCCCATTAATGGCGAGCATGCAGCACACAGGGTAACAATAAGTACTGGTCATCTTTTACGGTCTTTTGGTACCAGTATCAGGCCAGGTGATCGAACCACCGACATTCGCCCTCCAGACAGACGCTCTATTCACTAGACCATGGGGGCGGTCCTGAAAGTAGGAATGACGTATGATATAATGATGGTGGGGCACAATGTATGATACTCTAAAATCACCCCATGCATGCATGTTGTGTTCAGATTGAATGGTTATATGACGGACCAGACAATCCAGTGATTGATATCATTGATCTTTGGGAAACGATGGTCGATATGCATCAGCCAAGTCAGTGAGCCTGACAGATACCGTTAGTCGCCTCTTATGACAAGCATAAGGTTGAACAGTAGTCCACTTTTAGTGTAACTACAATTATTTAGAGTTGATTCATTTGTTCATTACTTTGTCAGGCTTTCAAATATGTGCATCCTACAGCTACACCTTAAGTGCCAATTTGGTGTGGCCATATACATGTCATCATGATCATATAGCATACTTAACCTGGGTCAACTTCATTAAACGTTTGAGGAGAAATCTGCATTATGTGTTCGTTTCTTAGTTTTATTAGTTTCATCAAAATCAGTAAATACACTAACGTGTTACTGGATTTCTGGTCCATCCATCACTGGATTGTTTGGTTTGTTGACAGGCCGCCGTCGCACGACAGGAGTACTGCTGTACTGCGTCAGGCAATAAACACTTACTTTTATCACGCAAACTGTGTGGATATGGCAGGTGCTACTAGTAGAGCGGGACATGATTACCCTTTTCGCGAACACGTGGTGTCGTCACTGATATTTAGTGGTCCATTTATATAATCTTTACAGCTGTTTTGCTCTCAAAGTGAAGTTTGTTTCGGTTGATAATCAAGACTGGTTATTCTCTGGCACTGACATTTTATTGTCCGTTCGCCGGTCATCCTTTCTAAAACCGTTCAATATTTTTCAACAAAAACAAATGGTAGATATATCAAACAGATCCTGAAGTGGTGCCTTTTGCTATTTACGGATTTTTGGCATTTTTATTTTTCTCGATTTCCATGGAAACAATTTGTACCAAGTCTCAAGAGGGGGGGGGGGGGGGGGGGGGGATTTCGTTTCAGGAGCACAGCTAAGACACCGTCCGATATCTTTCAACAAAGCGTGGTTGATATATCAAACATATCCTCAAGTAGTATTTGCAGATTTTTGGCATTTTTCTTTCCCGATTTCCATGGAAACAATTTGTACCAAGTCTCAAGAGGGGGTGGTGGATTTTGTTTCCGGCGCACAACTCAGAAACCGTCCGATATCTTTCAACAAAGCGTGGTTGATATATCAAACATATCCTCAAGTAGTATTTGCAGATTTTTGGCATTTTTCTTTTTCTCGATTTCCATGGAAACAATTTGTACCAAGTCTCAAGAAGGGGGTGGTGGATTTTGTTTCCGGCGCACAACTCAGAAACCGTCCGATATCTTTCAACAAAGCGTGGTTGACATAGCAAACAGATCCTCAAGTAGTATTTGCAGATTTTTGGCCTTTTTATTTTTCTCGATTTCCATGGAAACAATTTGGATTTAGTCTCAAAAGGGAGGGGTGGGTGTCGTTTCCGGAGCACACCATAAAAACTGTGAAAGACTTTTCATCCAAACCTGGTACATGTATTAACCAAGGGCTGACGTGGTACCTTTTGCTATTTAGAAATGTTTCAAAATTTGATTTTCCCCCGTTTCCATTTTTAACAAGTTAGACTTAGGATGTAGCAGAGGTAGGTGTTTCCGGAGCAGAACTAAAAAACTAGTCTGACATTTTTCATCCAAACTTGGTACATATATATAATTAAAGGTTGAAGTGGTGCCTTTTGCTATGAAGAAATTATTTTTGAAAAATATCTGTTTCCATGGCAACAAGTTTGACTTTGACAGTTAATAGTGGTGTTTGTCCGGACCATGTCTCTAAAACTTAAAGGTATTCTTTCATGACACTTTACACACAAAGACCAGTTTGTCAAATGGTGCCTTTTGCTACAAAGGCCTGTTTAGAATTGATATTTTTTTCTGTTTCCACGCAACAAATTTGATCTTGACTTGGTCATATTGGTGAGTACCTGACGTAGAAATACAAAGTTCCAAATCTTGTATAGGACAGACAGATTAGAT